ATCTTGTACACTGGATAGTTGTCTGCAAACCATAGTGGACAGACATGCGTGGCTGCTCCACTGTCGATCGTGTCTGTTGCGCCGCTGCTTGTGGTGTCTGTCTTGTAGTCATTGCCATTGCTGATCATGGCGATGACATGGATTGGTGTCATGTCATGGTTGCCGGTGGATGGAATTGGTGGTAGTGCCAATGGTTGTTGTCCTTGTTGTTGCCGTGTGTAGTCCTGAAAGTGCCATCCATTGTCATAGTAGTCGTCGTACCATTGTGCTGTCGCATCTTCAAGGTCATTGCTTTCTCCTTGTCCAATGTTGTGTATTGCCACTCGGCAATCTTTGGCATAGTGTCCTGTTCTTCCACATCTGTAGCATGTATCTGTTGCTTGTTTTCCTTTGTTCTTTCCCTTGCCTTTGTTGTATCCTTTGCTGAATCCTTTGTTTCCTTTGTTGCCTCTTCCGAATGGATTGCCAAAGCCGATCGGACTGTTGCTGTAGTTGTTGAATCCTTTCCCTCCATACTTTCTTTTTCCTTTGTGGTTGATGTTGTAGCTGTTGTAGCCGTAGCCGTTGTATCCTCCCTAGCCTTTGCCTTTGTTCTTTCCTGTTCCTTTCCCTTTCCTTTGTAACTGTTGTACTTCCCTTTTCCTTTGTGGATTGCATCAATGTCCATAGGTGCTTGTCCTCCACCAAAGCTTGTTGCTACACTGGATGACTGTGATCGTAGTTGTTGTAGTTTGCTGAATGCTGTTGTTGATCTGTAGTACTCGATGATTGTTTGTTTGACTCGTGCATAGTTTGGGCTTTGTCCTGAAAGCAGTTGTAGGCGTTGTTGTAGTGGTCCGCTTGTCTCGTTGAGCAATACGGCAATCTTCACGGAGTCTGGGAGTGTTTGTCCATTGTCTCGCTCGAATCTTTGTAGCTCAAATTCCCATGTGGAAAATGATTCTTCAAAGTTGTTCTTGTCAAATGTTGGTTTCAACAATCTTGTCAAGTGTCCTATGGATCTTGTCCCCAATGGGATGGAGAAGCGGATGCACAGTTGTCGGTACATCTCGAAGCCAATTGTGTGTTGGTATTGTCTGCATACTGTAGCTGCTGCTCCAGTTGGTGTGTTGATGAGGATGTGCCTCAAATCAGTGCTGAGGCGAACATGTCGTTCACCGTCTTCGATTGTTGATGCCGCTGCTCGTAATTGTAGCTCTGTGAGTTCTGCTGTGCCTCGTTCTGCTGCTTGTAGTAGTTCTGTGTAATCATTGTCTTGCAATCCCATGTATGCAGTGAACTTGTACTTCCATTCCTCGAACGTGCCATAGTCTCCATTGAAGAAAGGTGGTTTGAGTTTGTATCCATGTTTGCCATGTTTGTGATTGTCTCGTCTTCTGGAACTGGAGGTAGGCCATCTCCAGCTTGAGCTGCTGCTGGTTGTGCTGCCATTGTTGCAGCTGTGCAAGCTACCTGTTGTAGGGTCAAGGCTTGCTCTTCGTTGTCTGTGTTTGTGTGTTTGTTCCTGTTGTTGTATTGGAGCTCACCTGGATTGTTGTTACCAGGATCCTTGCTCCGCTACCATGTAAAATTCAGCAGCTGTTTTGTTTATTGTTTGTTTGCGCACGTCTCTGTATTGTTTTCCCTCTGGCAATTGTCCTTAGGCTCAAGCTAAGCTCAAGGCCTTTGATCCAAGGTGCATTGTATAGCACCATGCAATTGTACATCAACACTACGATGGAGTAAGTAAGCTATTGTGAAAAAGCTTGTCTCTTAACACCTCTCTCCCTCCCCCTCTCTCTCTCTCTCTTTCTCTCTCTCTCTCTCTCTTTCTCTCTCTCTCTCTCTCTCTCGCTCTTGCTCTCTTCTTTTTGAACATCGAAGTTCGACCTGGTATCAGCCTTTCAACAACACGTCTAAAGTTCAAAAACACGGTTCCAACCTAGTAGCAATGGCCTCCAACCTAAATGGCCTCCACACGAATTTGAGGCCCAGCCTTTCAAAAATCTGCCAGGTGTCCCTTGGTCCAGCAGTCCGACACGGCCAATGCCCTTAGCTTGCGTTAGCTGGCGTGCTGCTCGAAACACGACCCGTTGCTACTGCCCACGATTAAACGTCCCCACAGCCTTTCTCAGAAATCTTTCTCTGTTTGTGTGAAGGTCTAAGCTGTATCTTGGGACTCACCCATTCATTTGGATCAGGGTTCAACTACGGACAGTTTCAGGACGGCGAACCTGCAAGATCTCGCAGCCACAGGGCACTCGGTGTGTCCGTCACACGGCTTTTCGGGTGCTGTGAACCTGGTGAGTTCGGTGAGTTCCGAATGAGTTCGATGGCAACCTCCTGAACCATAGACCTGACCCTCTTCGTGGCCAATCTTCGCCACGCTGCGTAAATTGGGAGATCCACGCGAAGGAGCTGATAATGTTCATGATGTTGATCGCGCAGGCCCTTAAGATTGCAAAGTTGAACCAGCAAAGTGCTTTCGGAGAAAGAGAGACAAGTCACAGAGAATGGATACCATTTGGGTATCTACTGGGTACACCATGGGTACGATTTGGGTACCGTGCTTTCACGATGGCAAGCAACAACGATGCCTTAATTCATGGAGAAGAGGCAAGGCAAACAAAAATCAGAGCTTCAGAGTCACTTCACTCAGCAAGCCGTCACCTTCCATCAGCTGTTGCTCCTAGGGCCCCGTCTTTGGCTCGGGGCAGGCGCTGGCCGCAGAGCGGATCTGCAAGATGACACGCACAATGTAGGAGGCCTCAACATCAGATGACCATCCGTCCGTGAAAATGCACAACCTTACACTGCCTCCCGCGCGTGCGCGCGCGATCTCTCTCTCTCTCTCTCTGTCTCTATATCTCTCTCTCTCTCTCTCCATCAATTATATATGGAAGTGGACACTAAACCCTCAGAAAAGGTGCTTTTCCTCTATTTCCCTGGGCGGTCATCAAATTCCATCTTTCTTGGATCGGTCGCTGCGCACATCGAACCCAGGCACCAGATCATCTGTGAACCCTTCGGGCCGGTCGTTCCTAAGGTTCGAAGTAAGGTTTCAAGCGAATTCAGGCGTCATTCCATGAGTTGAGGTGGTCGTGGACGTCCATTTTTCGCTGGAATTCGCGGTCGTCTTGAGACGCGCAGTGAAAAAACTCATCCTATGACTGTCCAGTTCGACTCATCCTTTCATCAGAACAAGAAGTATTTCAGAAAGCCGCCCTTGACCAAAAGGCCTAAGACCTAACGACATCTAAAGACCCTTTTCAGATTGGTTTTGGGCTCCCAGGTAATCCATCGACATTTTTTGACTCGGGCGGACTGGATCCCAAAGCACGGATTGAGCCCGAAATCGATTGGTCCTCGCTTTGGGAAGAACATGCTGGACGACTATCTCATGCTTGACAGCCATCCAAGACCTGCTTCTCGGCTCGCAGCTCGCAGGACATCCTCTTCTCTCTAAACCCCCCGTCTCGGCCAACTCCTCACTGGTTGACGGCTGTCTGGGTCTTCCAACCGCGTTCGTCACGTCCGCCATGACGCACTGCGTGAGGTCGAAGTTGCGGTTGCGCTTTGACTCGGTGCTTGAAGAATGCACAGCTGACAGATGCTGACAGGATTCGAACCCCCACAGCCGACAGATGCTGTTGGATAGCAATGGTGCAAACCCCGGTGCTGGGAGTTGATGTTCGGATGCTACACAAAATGAGAAGGGACTCTGGGTGTTTGGAATACATGGAATACAGCAGCAGTAGACTTCCAACTTGCATTCTACTCTTGCTAGTCTCCTAAAACAACACTTGTTCTTCTTGAGCATTGCGTGGCACTTATCCACCATGCTCATCCACTTCCACCCGCACAGATGCATGATCCTCAGGGCTTCCGGACCGTACGGAGCGCGTCCACCTTGGCGATGGTCTCCACGGTGGGTGCGGCGCCAGCAGGGACGAAGGCTTGCCAGTTGGGTGGCAGGGGGTTGGCGTCGGTCACGTGAAGCAGGGCGATCCAGTCCTGGTTGATAGGGCATAGCGCAGGCGCACACTACATCGACCCAACCAGCCCATCGAATGCGACAGGAAGACTTCGACTTGTAAAGGGACTACCGACAGGACACAAACAACACCCTTAGCACGACTACGCTCTTGTTCAGGGATAGCCCAGCCGTCCTTGTTGAAGTCGCAGTCCTCCTTGACAGCTGCACCAACCTTGGCTGCAACAGCTGCATGACACAGACCGAGAAATGAATTGTTCGAAACACATGGCAGTAACACATGGCTCAATTTGAAAGGCTGAGGGGAGCTTCTGCACGAACAAAATCTGCTAGCTGGTGTCTCCCGTCACTTGAGCTCTGCAAAATACGACATGCTTGAGGGAAAAGCAAACAAATCCTAACAGTTGGAGGACTCACAGCTTGGCTGTCTCACTTCCACATGTCTCATCATCTCTCCTTCCATCAGGAGTCTTGCATGCCTTTCACTTTTCTAAACTGCAGAATGCAAAAAATGCATATAGAATATCAACAAAAAATGCTGTCCAGAGTTGACACCAAGCTGCAGTCGCCATCTCGCCAAAGTTCGCCATCAGGGCCGTCCAGTCTCCCGCGCAGAGGGCACCAGAGTTGACGGCGGCGCCACAGGCGTTGGCGGCGAAGGAGAGGTAAGAGGCGATCCAGGTGATGGAGGTGATGAAACCCGCCACACCTTGAGGTGGCTTAGTCAGAAAGAATAGGTAAATATTCACCAAAAAGGTCAGGTCAGGTAGCTCAGCTTTGCATTTCATTTGACGAAAAGTTGGGTGGCAAGGAAATACAAGGAAGGAGCACTGGGTGCATGTCGTTCGCTGATTTCTGTAAATCGGCCATACCCTCAACAACTATGACTAATTATATAATAACAATCTGGCGGAATTTCTCCCAACAAATAATTATGCTAGCTAGATTGGTGTGTTTGCATGTTTTTGCTATATAAACTGTCATACACCCAGTACCACTGAAAGGAATGATACGGGTGCCGAGTGACTGGCAGCGCAGCCCACTGGAGAGTTGTTTGGGCACTTGAGCCCGTCGTAGTCAATGGCCTTGTTCGAGGCTTCCGAATCCCTTGTTTAATTTGAATATATAAACTTGGTGGACAAGTGCAAATAGGCAAACAAGACTGAACACGCTCGTCATGTTCACCGCGAGGCCGCGGAAATTATGAACAGGCCCACAGGAAACAAAAAAAACATAGAAAGCTGTGAGGCTTTGCCAAGCTTGTTCAACTTGTTTGATTTTCAAGCCTCACCTTGTACAAGAAGACCACTGCCTGTCCCAAGTAGGCGGCGCCCTGCACAGGTTGGCTCAGAACAGGTTCCAGCTAGCCAATGCTAGAAGCCTCCGAAGCCAAGAGCCTCCCTCTCCCCAAAACATGCTCTCAACTTGCGCACCTGAACCACGTCGATCACACACTCGGTGCGAATCCATGGCAGTTCCTCCGGTTGGGACTCATAGAACAAGTCGTTCAAGTTGCGCAGGGGCTGCTTCAGCTCGAGGGCTTAGTGGGCAACTGCTGCGAAAAACTGAACCAAAAACCAGTCACCATCCAGCACGGGCGGGCATCGCTTACAGTATTGGTCGCTGCCTTCAACATTCTTTGCATCTTACAGTAAATGGTGGGATAATTTTGGTTTGAAGCACTACTCTTCTTTCTTTGCCCACCAATCCCTCGGAGCCGTTCTGACATCCTTCCCGATCGATGGACGTCGTACAAGTTGCCACATCATTTGCATCATTCGTGCCACATACTTTCCTAACCACACACAGCATATAATGTTAAATACATAGTTTCACAAACATTGCGTTTGGACAAAATGGTGTTCTCATGTTTTTTGTCCTAGCTCTATGCTGCGACCGAGCTTCTCTTGGCGTGCTCGATGACCTTGTCGATCCCAGGGATTTCCTCCCAATCGTTGATGGTCTGCATCACACTGGATGTCCTCAAGCGCCGGGACATAGAATCGCCAAAAAATGATTGTGAATTTAAATATATATATATATAAATTACCGGCGTGGGGGGTTCTACTTCATCCCACTCGCTACTGGGCACAAGCTCTTGATAAGGCCTCAAATAGGCCTACTGGTCTCAAATGCATCTTCCAATCGCACGCTAAGATGGAGGCCACGCAGGCTCTTCTGCAGGCATGGTCTTGTATGCGAACGCTGCGCAGCCCACCTGATGGCCGAGCGTGACATCCTGCCACACCCGATAAAACTTGAGCACACATATTATCAAGATGAACAGCGAGCTGTGGGATAACCAGGATCACATAGAGCAACCTGCTTTAGCAGTTTTCAATCGTTTTCCTTGAGGAACGCTAAGATTGCTGTAGCACTCTGTAGCACTGTTTGCTTGTGTTTATCTGCACCCTGAGGTTCATCTGTAGATCCTGGTGTTTTTCCCAGTAAGTACCCCGGGGGCCTCCGAAGTGGTTCGGGTTCGGGTTCGGGTTCGGCTTCGATGACGGCGCGGTGTCCAGGGGCAGAGTTCGCGTTCGTTGTCTGTGTGCGTGATGGGTCGGTCCCGGTGCAGGGTTGGGATTCGGTCGTGGATGGCGCAGTGCTTTGCGTGCACGTTCGAGCGCACTGCGCGGAGATGCGATGTCCAGCGCGGGTGTGGGCCTCAAGGGTGTAGACCACGGGGTGGAGGTTGGAATACGATATATCGCGTTTATCTGCGTAGCGGCTTGTATGTACATGTGGCACAAGGCGCTGTGTAAGCTGTGAGACCATTGCGCAACAGTGGTTCTGCAGACCTCTTGTCGTTCAGGGTATGGGAGTCGGGGAGAGGGGGAGAGTGCGACTGCGGCTTCGACTTCGGCATCGCAGAAAGGCGAGGGTGGGGCGGGGGGCGGTTCGACTTCGGGTTCGGGTTCGACTTGCGCAAGGTTGGACTTCGGGTTCGGGTTCGACTTCGGACTGGACGTCGGGCTTGAATGCGGAGTAGAAAGGAATGCTGCGGAATCTGAACGTGTTTTTTGGTCGGGGGGGCGGGGCGGAGGGAGGTTCGACTGTGGATGTGGCGTCGCGGTCGTGCGCGGACGGGACTGCGAGTTGGACGTCGGAATCGCAAGGACGCAGAGGAGTCTGCTCCTGTCTGTGTTGGGGGGGCGGTGGGGGCACGTTCGATTGCGGGTTGGACCTGAGACGGGACAGCAATGTCGAAGTCGGAATGCGGAGGAACCTGCGACAGACAGGCAGACAGATATACGTTGAGACATGTAGATATAGACTGTAATCCTTTCATATGTTCACACAAACATACGTTCAGACCGGGACACAGACAGACCTCCTACCGATGCACAGACAGACACAGAGGCAAGACACATAGATACAAGATGATACGAGCTCGGCCCTGCTTCTTCGAGCTTGTTTGCCGCGGGGGAGGCGCTGCGCCCTCCCCCTGCACCCCCTCCCGCTTTTTATGACCTATCATGCATGCATGTGGCCAAAGGCACACACCAAAGTATGCGGAAAGGTAAATGGCATACAGCTAGACAGAGCCACACAGAGCAGAGATGAAATGAGACCTGGGCAGTGTGGAAAAGTTTGGACTACGTGTGAAGAAATGTTCATGGAGGCTGTGTCCAATCTAAACATCTGGAAACCACGCGTCCACACGTTAGCTTGGAACTGCGTCTATCCGACCCAGAGACGGCAGTGGGCGCCGTGACTGCAGCCATGGTGGCAAGTCGCCTGCACACGCAAGCGCGCAAGTCTCATGCCCGGCACGGGAACCGACGACCTCCCAGTCAGCGCTCTTTTTTGTCTCACCTCTCGGATCGAGGCTTCTGCTGCAAAAAGGGAACGCGGGCTACAAAACACAAACCACAGCAATACAGAGTCACATGTCAGGGTCTTAGCCCGCCGAGGTTTTTGCCCAGCGCCGTCGAAGCGCCAGCCGCACCGCGTCTCCACAGCGCTGATGTCGCTCATGAGATGCACGGTGGAGCTGTTCGGGTTGATGACAACCTCATCCTCTGGCGACGCGGACGTGAGCTGCCGAGCGCAAGCTGCGTCAGGAGGGTTGGGCCCCGCTGCATCTGGGTTTCCTTCACAGGCAGCAGTTGGCTGACGTTTGCGTCGCTTGGCAGGCCCAGGAACGACGCAAGCGCCAGCAGCCACGTGTCCGGAGCTCAACGCCGGCTCAGTCTCGTCTGGAGTGCGGTTGCTTTGGGCCCGCAAGAATGTTTGCCAAGCTTGGTCACAGGTATGTCTGACGTTGTGATCATGGGCAAAAAGGAGCAAAAACATCTCCTGGTGTGTGAGGGGGCTGCATAAGAGAGGACGAGCTGCCAACAACCACGCGAAAGACTTGCTCGGCAGCTTCGGTATCAACGCCACACAGTTCAGGATGACGCGCTGGATCAACTCCAGGTACGAACCAAGGACTTGACGGCTGCCGGCATGCGGCGTGGTTTACCGGAGACGTAACCTATCAACGACCCACTTGGGACGGCCGAATTTCTCCCAGGCCGCACGCGCAGCCAGGGGCAACGCGCGCTCCCGCAACCGCTTTGCCACACTCCGAGCGGCCCCACAGGCATTGTCATAGATGACAAAAGCCAGTGTCGAGAAAAGCTGAAGCAATCTCTGGACCCGGAAAAGAACACTTGCGTCAAAGACTCGGAGGCATACATGGGACGGATGGCAATGATCTGCAGGCAGAGGGCCACGGCCACCAGGACGCGGCGGGATTTGCGAGAGACCCGTGTCTCAGAAATGCCCTTGCGGTCGTCTTTATGACCTGCAGAGATCCAAGACGCCAGCGCAACATGTAACGCAACGTGCACTAGACCAAAGTTAGACACGTGCACTATACCAAATTCAGACCAGCGATACAAGTCAATACACGTTTGCGTTGAAAGCTTGGTAGGTCCCATCGCCAGTGTGCATCGTACGCAAAGAAAAAACACGCATGCGTGACAAACCAGGACACGTTGAGCTGAGACCGGGACATGAATCTGCTTCCTCCGTCAGGGCGTCTCTGGGCCTCTAGCGAAGCAAGGTCAGCCCGTAGGCCCGCACATGGTTGAGCGGCACCTCTGCGGCTTCCCGCCAGATGTTGTCGACTTTGTACTGCAACATTCTTCGGGCGGAACATCAGCCCCCGCATGTTGGGAAAGTACCCCAGGCAGAGGTTGGGGTCCCACATCATACCAGATGCGCGGTCATTGCAAACGGGTGTTTGAATGGACCGCTTGCCGTCGATGACGCACGCACACACCTTGTCAGAGAGGGGACAAGCGTGCCTGAATGCGAGGGCTTCGAAGCTGCTGCGCAGCAGAAGCAACAACGGGCGGAAGTCTTCCGCATGGTGATGAGGCCGCAGGAACCACACGAAGGTGTGCAAGTCTGAGCCACCTGACGCTTCGAGCAAGCCCAAAGATGCGTGCACGAGGATGGCCACCAAGAGCTGTTGTATGAAATGCTCTCTTGCAGCAAACATGGTGCCGTGCATGGTGGTGGACCAGAAAGAAAAGAGAAAGGAACGCTGTGAGGGCCCGTGTTTTTCAATGTTTTTGCGTTTTTTAACTATATTTGGGCCTGTTACACAAAGGATATGAAGTCTGTAGTGAAACAGCTGGTCTTGCATTACATGTTCCAGCTTCTAAAACAAAAGACTTGATGCTAAGGCTGCTAAGAGTAGTGAAGCAGCTAAGTGGTATTTGGTGTTCTGGCGCCAACTTCAAACTAATGCGATAACCTATTAGTAGGCCATACAAATAATATTATGTAACCATTATCAACCATTTTCTGGCAGATATGACTCTTGCTGCTCCTGCAAGTAATATCCTAATCATTGCTTGGTTCACTTTCTCAATGTCACTAGCAATATCATCAGTATCAGTATCATACTCATCATTTTCAATGTATCTATCTTCAAATGTTGAAATTTCTACAGTTTGATTTTCTACAACTTGGTAAAATTCTTTAGGTAAATTAATATCCACATACTTGCTCGCTCTCCAGCCTCCAATCTTATTGATAAAAGCCACTCACTTGGGCTCTTTTGATCTTCAGCGCTGATGGTGAAAGCATCAAGCTTGACACACTATACTGTAATACCAGCATGCTTCAGTTTAAAGTATTTTTACTAAATTCAGCAAATGGCGCGGCGCTGCAAAAGAAGCTCTTTGATATACCTATACTGGTTTTAGTTGTTTGGGATCACGTGTTGCAAAAACAAATTGCTCAACAAACTATGTGGCTTTGCAAAAAAGACTCAGACCGATGAAATAGATTTGATCGATCGCTATGACATCAAATTCTGAATAATCAAATGGTTCCATCTAAACATCACCAAAACTTTGACCAAATATATTGTTATTTAGCGTTCTGGTAGCGTTCTGGCGCCAACTTCGAAGTAATGCGATAACCTATTTGTAGGCCATACAAATAATATTGCGTAACCATTATCAACCACTTTCTGGCAGATATGACTTTTGCTTGCTCCTGCAAGTAATATCCTAATCATTGTTTGGTTCACTTTTTGAATGTCGCGAACAATATCATCAGTATCAGTATCATACTCATCATTTTCAATGTATCTATCTTTAGATGTTGAAATTTCTACAGTTTGATTTTCTACAACTTGGTAAAATTCTTTAGGTAAACTAATATCTACATTTTCTTCCCTCTTCAGCCTTCAATCTTATTGATAAAAGCCACTCACTTGGGTTCTTTTGGTCTTCAGCGTTGATGGTGAAAGCATCAAGCTTGACACACTATACTGTAATACCAGCATGCTTCAGTTTAAAGTCAGTTGTATACATTTCAAAAATTGTGAAAATTAGTTTCAAGAAGAAAAAACTTGCTTTTATAACTCTGCTCTACTAGACTTGCCAGCCTTTGCCGAAGAATCCCAATCTGGAGGAGGGGGTCGACCCAAGTTGGTAGACCCTCCCTCTCAGCCTTTGCCAAAGGATACTAATCTGGAGGGGGAGGGTCGACCATTCGCTCAATCCTCCCTCCTACCCTTTTCAAACGCTCCTGATCTCTGGATCTAAAGGGTGGTTTCGACCCCAAAAGGATGTTTTTTTGTTGGTCGACCCCCGCTCCCAGCCTTTGCCAAAGGATACCAATCTGGAGAGGGTCGACCATTCTGCCAATCCTCCCTCCTAGCCTTTTCCAGCAAATCTGGAGCGGGGTCGACCAAAAAAACATCTGTTTTTG